TGACGGGCACGGCCTTGCCCTTGTGCACGAGCATGCCCGTCGCGTGGTACTGCGGCCAGAAGCGGTGGATCACGTAGCCCTCTGCGTTCTTCGGGTCAGGCCCGAAGTACGAGTAGCCGCCTTCGGGGCCCTTGCCGACCTTGAAGCCGGGCACGGACGCAGGGCGCGCGATGTCGAGCGTGATCTGCAGGTCGTCGCCGAGGTTGGCGGTGATGGTGTACGACTCGGGCGTCTCAGTCCCGGGCTTGGATTTGTGCGTGATCGAGAACTCGTCCGCCTTGCTCGACCGCTTGTCGAGTCCGGGCGGGGGCGTCACAAAGTTCGTGACGTTGACAGACTTCCAGGTCTTCTCGCCCGTGTTCGGGTTGAAGATCTTGCAGGTGAACTGGATGGTGGGGTACCACACGCTGGATAGGAGGACGGAGACATGAGCGCCGGGAAGCGTCAAAGTATCCTGCTTGATCACTCACCCAACCGCCGAGTGGATGACCTGACACATAAGGGACGTCCCGTCCTCCAAGAAGGTGTAGAACACCTGCGTTTCTACCGCGAAGCCGCCGGGACACGCCCACTCGGTGTCCTTGGGCTCGAGCTCGCCAAAGAGCTCCGATGGCTGGTGTGCCGACGAGACGGGGTGAAAGTTGGGTGCATTGGGGTCGACCGGGCCAGTGGTGCTGCGAGACTGTGAGGATTGCCACGGACGGGGACGCAGGCGCGACTCACGAGAAGAAACTGGAGAACATGGTGGTTGCGGAACGACCTGCACTCGATCAGTTGCCGACAGACATGCCTCTGCAGTATGGCCCTCTCCATATTACGCGCGCCGGATCACGTAATCCCTCCTGCTCATACCCGTCCCGAAATGGCAGTCGATACAGGGTTCTGCTCTTCCGCCACCCACCATTGCTCACAAGACTGTCCCCAGTCGCACGAGACGCGTTCCAGCTGCGCGCATTCCCATCGATGGAGACAGCTCTTGTGAGCCCGACTACGCTCACTGTGAAAGGGCTACCGTGGCCGTTTGCAAGCGATGGGCTACACAACCGACGGGGTCGCACTCAGGTTCACCTTGCCACGCCGGACGCTCGAACATCGTACGGTACCACCCCTCTCGATCCACGCCGACTTGGCCTGGTTGAGTCCGTGAGGTACCTCCTGCACACGCAAGTCATCCGTATAACGTGGGACACCGACGGTTGTCAGGTAGGGAAGGTCTAGATACTGGCAGGCCCGTCGAGAGTCACCCATGTCTTGGAAGAGGCGTTGAAGCTACCGCTGCCGCAGCAGGACCCGTTCCGACAACTACCATCCCCCATCTCAACATGGCAAAGGCTTTTGCTCACACTTGAGTAGCACACACACACTCACCAACGAACTCTTCTCCTCTCTGTCGCACTCCGATGAGCGCCGCACCGGTACGCTGTGTATAATTATACAACATCATCCTATGAAACAACCAAGCAAAAAAAAACACAACGGTCCGCAAATTGTCAGTACGCAGGCAAGACCGGACACGACGAGGCTAGCTTCACCGGCTCCCATGCGCGCAGGCTCGACGCGCTCTGGCTATCCTCCCCGCCCAGCAGCGGCTGCTCGTGGTAGCTCCGCGAGCGACGATACGCCACGTCCTTCGCCCCGCCGGACCCGCCGTCCTCAAACACCGCGCCCGCGTCGTGCTGGATCGCGCGCACGAGCTCGCCCGGCCGTGGCAGCTGCGCCCAGGGTGCACAAACGCCACTGTCAGTATGTGCACTGCGGGGGACTATGGTGGGGCAGGGTGGGCGTACCGCGTGCGCGCGCGTGGCCTGCTTGATGGACGGGACGTTCGAGAGGCTCGAGAGCTGCGGGAGGGAGACGTGGCCGATGCGCTCGGCCTGCATCCGCAGGCCCTCGCGCGCGTTGAGCGTCGCGAGAAGGGAGACGGAGTAGACTGCGGAGCGGCAGGCGATGTTTCAATGGGCTGCCGGGCGCGTGAGAGGGAGGGACGTACGGCGCGCCCCGATGTAGTAGAACATCACGTAGATCGCAGTCGTGGGCAATATCACGACCTGCGAGGTCCGCGCTCAAGATCAATATCCTCAGACCCGGACAATTGTTGGGGGGAGCATACCGCTGTGAGCGACGCAACGGCGCACAAGCTGTTGGGTGAACGGTCAGACCGGACGTAAGTAAGATTTGTGGAGCACTCGCCTCGTCGGCACGCCGGTATTGATGGCATACAGCACCTGCGGACGATCAGCTGGGCACATAAACAGCGGACGATATTAAGTCATACCAGCTTGTTAATGAGCCGGTTGGCGCTGCAATGTCCAACGAACTGAGCACATTAAGCACGGATGATACCACATTTGCACTTACCCTGCGGAGCCTGTGCGAGACAGCGCCAGAAGGCCGACCAGCGTGCCACAGAGTAGTACATCCGTACATGCGGTTACAGAGCTGAGAGCGATGTCAAATCCCTGCCATGCATCACGTCAGGACTTTCACCGACGATCAGGGAGTGCCAACGCACCGCGAGACCTATGTAATCCTGTACATTGTCCGTCATGATGCTATGGGGGACGCTCAGTCCGCAACCACAGGTAATGTTATGGCCGCATACCTTTTGAGGAAGAGCGCTGAACGAGGAAACACGTCGTGTAAGCCCTGTGATGACAATTTGTAGGCAGGGGGTGACCTACTGAGAGCGAGGGCTAGAAGAGCAACCGTGAGCATCGCCTGGCTATTGATACAGTTGGCGGAACGCACCGAAATCTCCGAGGACGAAGGTGCCCTACAAGGGTGTAAGTTTGGTCTGCGGCCATCTGAGGAGGGGACTGCGCACCAGCACTATTGCTAGGTATCGGTTTCTGCTCACTGTGGATGAGCAGGAGGTCAGAGAGGACCGCTTCCGGAATGAGGTGTGGACGAACATGTCCAGATGCGGTATGAATAGAAACTGATCATGGGCGCTGCGGTGAGTCGCTGACGAGCATGCCGGTATAGTGTCTTACGATTGAATGGTAGCGATCGCAAAAGCCTATCAAATTTCTCTAATTCAGAGTAGTCGGCAAGGAGAGACTTAAACCGTGTACCCACATTACACAAAAGCTGGGCCTAGCAAGGGATGCTTCATAAGTCAACGATGTACACATGTCGGCTCAAACGCGACTCACGCTTGACTCCCTACCGAACGACCCAAGACGGATACTGTTCAGTGGCAATCCTATGCCGGAACCCTTGCACGACATACCAAGGCAGGAGTGTGGGGCCCAATGCCTGGACCTCTTTCCGTACCAAGTAGATCCACACTGTAGTAATCGCTCAGTCTCCTCCTGCAGAGCCACAACTGACATGACGAACTTGTCCCGGAATAGAGTAGAAGATGTAAAGCGTCAAAGCTCCAAATCAAGGCAACCTGGAGGATCGTCAGCACAGTGCACTACGAGCGTCAACGGCGCCCTCACAAGCGTCTTCAGGAACCTGCGGTCACATGGATAGTGCTTGTAATACCAGCATGCTTGAGCGGTGGCAACTAAAGGAGGCAACCGCGCATGAGTAGCTCATTTCGCAAACGGAAGCCTCGGGAACGGACAACTGACTTCCGAACAGGCTGGATCGACGAAGTCAATGATCGGGTTCCTGAGTTCCTCATCCCGCTGCTCACCTCGCCGTAACCGCAAGCCCTACGAGCGTCACGCCGAGCCTACAGTCCAGGTTACTCGCATCCCAGAGAATGAACAGATGGCGCGGGGACCAGAGCGCTCACGTCACGTCGAAGAAGGCGAACGGGTTGACCGTGATAGCCATCGTGCGGCATGGGCGAGGCTCAAGTCCACAAGGGCGGCGCCGGCGCGCGAACCAGTGGGCAGAGACAGGCGGGGACGGGGGAGCGCGAGGAGGGCGTTCTCAGGAGGGTGGTGGCACTGGCCGCTGCGCGCGCGAGCCATAACGACCCGACTTTATGTGGCGCGGGCGGGTGCAGACCCTTGGGCCTTGCAGCCGGCCTTCGATTCCTGGGCACGCTAGCATGGGAGCCGCCCTGCCGCGGACCCTGCCGGAACGCACAATTGCGTACACTCGGGCCCGGCGTGCAGGCTGTCTTCCCGGAGATCGCGGCGGCGCCCCCTCCCGCACTTCCGCCCGGACTCATCGCGAGACGACAGCGCGGGTCAGTACGGGCCTGCGAGCGATCGTGCTAATAGACTACCATTTCATATCCTCCCCAGTGGGTGCTCAAGGGCGCCATCAGTAAATTGGCTGCAGCCAAGGCAAGGGGCGGGCGGTTCGTCAACCTGATTATGACGGACGCACGCCGGCGACCTAGTCGTTCCCAAGGAGCCCAGGTCGTGCCCCTCCCGTGAGACGCGGCACGTAGGTGTATCCGCGAGGCAATCTGAAGGCTCCATAGTTCAGCACGGTGCCAATAGCTGCCATACGCACCGGAGTCGCTTCGCGGCGACACACCGTCCGTTGCGATCCGCGGGCGGACCCCAAGGGGAGCTGCGTGCATAAGAGACGGTCCCACTGGCATGCCTGGAGATGCAATGAATTGAATAGCGTGAGCGTACGAGAGATTCACGTCTCGGTTGCGCTGCCCATTGGCCGAGGAAAGTATCCATGAATGTGGAACGGGGTAATTGTGGGATTCGCTGCGGTCAGACGACCGAACCCTTGGCGCCTATTGCAGGGCATATGGAATGTCGCGACATGTCTAGCCCAGGGCAGGAACGTCCAGGGATAGAAAACAACACCCGACGGGTTGCTACGACACGTTGAACGTGCACTGTGAGAGGACCCCCGATCGCTGCATTAATGCACTTCTGATTGTGGTGGTATGCATTCTATAAGGTCCATCAGACGTCTCAACATTGTGCACTAACCTCCAGAGTTGTCGCACTCGGGCAGGACTGCTTACAGAATAGTCATGCCGCAGTAGTGCGTAACAAGCCGTTGGTAGGAGAGAACTTAAACAGTGAATGAATCTTGGTAAGGTGCGCTGAACAAAATGGTCAAAAACATCCTCCGAGCCAGGATCGAACTAGCGACATTCAGATAGCACAGGGTTACCGATTACAGTCTGGCGCTCTACCAACTGAGCTATCGGAGGATGTGAGCGTAAAACTACATTGTGTAAATTCCCAAGTATTGACAACAACAACAACGCTCAGGCGCACGTGTGAACACCGTTCTTGAAGAACGTTCTGCAGAGAGACGATCGGAGGAGGTGCATCATCGCAGCCACCAGTGCATCGCGCTATGCGGGGCAAGTGCACAACTCGATGCTAACGATACGCGGCTTCCGCCCGAGGGGCCTCCGCCACAGCGCGCTGGCCGTGCCCCCCGCGCAGCTGCACCAAGGTTTGGGGATCGCCATGGAGAGTGAAACATGAGAAGATGGGATGTATATTCGGCTGTGGACGCGGAGGAGATGGTACGAGAGCGGCTGAGGTGGCCGTTGCCGAATCCAAATAGAGCTGACCCCACCCAGACCGTGCTATGGCCTTTCGTGAGAACGGCGCGCGCCCGCCGCTCCCCAAAAACCCCACCGCACTCCTATATCCTATCCAGCTCCCCCCTCTTCCTTTCCCACTCACCACACATACCTCGACCGTCCGCGCCAAGGCCCAATCCCACTCCCCGTTACTCCTTTGCTGTCGCGACCGACGTCCACGACCATAACCATGTCCACCGCTCTCCGTAACCTCGCCAAGCACGCCCGCTCGCTCTCGAATGCCTCGCGGAGCGTGCCCAGCACCTCGCGCGCGTTCCATTCGCCCTTCGCGGTGCTCTCCACGTCCCAGTCGCCCCTGACGACCGCGCCCGCGTCCACGTCCTCCGCAAGCACGCTCTCGTACGAGAAGCAGCTCGACCACTCCCCGGACCCGTACACGTCCTCCGCCGGGCACCGCACCTACGTCGTCTCCGCCCCGGACCCGTCCAACACGCCGTACGAGGTGCCCTCGGGCGCGTACCCGACCTCCGCGCCCTACCAGAACTACACGCGCACCGAGGCCCCTGTCGCCGACGGCGCCGAGCACGCGTCGACCGCGCCCGGGCTCGCGCACCCGTACACCACGCAGAGGGTCCCGCGGAACGAGGCGGGCGTCGGCGAGAGCGCGGCGATCCGCCACAGAGAGGCCCCCGGCGCGATGCACGCGCGCGGCGGGAGCTACGGCGGCCAGGGCGTCGCGGACGCGGCGGGCACGCAGAACGGCCAGGGCGAGCTGCCCGACCGCAATCCGCCGCCGCTCTTCGAGCACGCGGAAAAGTTCTCCAAGGCGGGCGTCGACAACGCCTGGAAGCAGCGCAAGTGAGCGCGAGCCCACCGCTTCCGTTTTCCTTGGGAGTCCGTCGTCGCCGTCAAGGAGGGGTTGAGTTAGGGATGTCTGATAATCGCAGGTTGCTCTCACCGCTGTTTGCACTGTGTCTGTATATGCCGTTGCCACGAGTTGTAGTGTAGGAGTACGTTGTTGCCTCCACCATGCCACCATAGCCTGCCCATAATCCACATAGACTGTACATCCATGTCCTCTGCACCACCCGTCGGCTGTTGTCCCTGCCCGCGTGTGCCCTGTACGCTGCAGGTCCCTCGATGGCCAGCTGCACTCGCGGTCGACCGAGAACATGCCGTGCGCATTGCCATGGGCCGGGAGACTGAATGTGCGAAGCGGACGTCCGGCGGTTCTCCCCAGGCGGACACACGCGCGCGTCCAGGCGAGACGCGTCGCCGCGGGCCCAAATCGCCCATGTACGTCACACGCGCGTCGGTCATGCGCCCCACCCCCGGCGCCCAATCGAAGCGCGCCATTTTGATGAGCGCGTGCCATTCGAGCTCGTACGCGCACGAGCCTCCGCCACTTGCGCCTTGCATCTGCGCATCCGCAATGGCAAGGCCCGGGAAACGCTGCGCCTTGGCCGTATGATGCGCATGTGTGCCCACGCTGCGGAGGTCGCCAAGAGCTCGTGGCATTGTTGTTCCGCTGCGAGACATGCAGATCCAGACGATGCGTGCGCTCCGTAACCCGTAGCATGCTCGGAGGTCGTCCAGACCCAGCTTGAGGTCAACAGCGGCTGTAGCGACAATTCCGTCGTAAATCTATCTTCAGCGGCCAGAGCGTCCGTCGCCCCACAGTCGAAGATACAACAGTGGGCGCACAACGCTTCCGACCTGTCCTGTAACCGTATGTGGTTTATCCTGCCACAATGGAGCGAGTGATCTCGGAAGACGTATACTGGGCTTCTTCGCGGACGATAGCCAACTCCAGACGACTCCGGGTCGCACTGCCCTATAGCTGAAGGAATGAGCAACACGACGATATGGACTGACCCCCGCCGGCATGGCGGTGCCGCAGCGCATGCGCGACCGCCACAGACAATTGATAATCAAGCACGCTTCGAGCACGCACGCGGATAGATAACCAGATTGACGTCTTTTATTCCATGGGCCGAGTAGCGGACATAGAATGGCGCGGACAGCGGGGGGCACAGATAAAATAAACGGAGGAAAACCAAGGTTATAGAGAGCGGAAACAGGGGCACGAGCGGTCTACGCCAGCATCTGGTGGGTGAGTGAGTTGCGAAACACAAAGGACTCCGACGGTAGCAGCCCGGAGCCCGGAGCACTGACTGCCCGGACCTGGGGCAAACACGATATCGCGGGGGGTGGTGCGAGACGAGGAGGCGCGGTGCGGAGAGCGTGAAGCGGATGGGTGGGGAACGAGCGGCGGTGTCCTTTGGGCCGGAACCAGAGCGGGCGCGGGCGCAAGCGCGAACCAGACAATATTCGAGGGATAGAGACGATGGGTGGGGGAGACACTCCCAAATATGCAATTACGGGCCGCCAACCCGGTATAGCGATAGCGAATATACACAGGCGAATGAAAGGGTATGCGGGGGTGCCGAGTATGCGGTGTGTATATGTAGACGTCGCGGGGTCGTCAGCCGGCCTTGTCCGATTGCAGGTAGCGAAAGCCAGGGGCGTGGGATGCAGAGAACGCGCAGAGCAATGCGATCACAAGTAGTTGGTGCGGTAGAGTAGGTCAGGTCGTTCGTCGAGTCGTCAGAGCCGTCACAAGGGGAGATGTTTGCATGCCTATATGTTACAAGGAGGAAATACACATGATCAGAGGGTCGTGCAGGTGTAGATTGGGACAGACGCACATGTTGATCCGCGCAACCGGTGCGCGTCGAGGCAACACAAGTCCTTATGCCCGACAACAAAACGCAGCCCAGAAGCCCTTCTTCCTTCCCGCGCCGTGCTCATCCTGCTCCCCAACGCGCTGCATCTGCTCCCGATCATACACCGCCATGCCCCGCGTGCCGCCGTTGAGCTGGTCTTGTCTTCCACCAGTGCCGCCAGTCGTCGTGCCCTCGCGGCTCGCCGTCCCGTTCTTGCCTTGCTGGTTGTACATGAACGAGTCGGAGTTGTTCGGGTGCTGCTGCAGGGGACTGGCGGCGCCCGGCGTGCCGTTCGGTGGAATTGGCGATTGACGGCCGTAAGCGTTAGTCCGATATCCGCCGGGGCTTGGTGCTGCGGCGTACGGGTGAGGTGCAACAAGGCCACTGTCGCGCTCAGCACGCGAAACATGCTGCTGGCTTTGGCGACGGCTTTGAGGGGCGAGGGGCTGCACACTGACGTGTTCCCGCGATCCGCCTCTTGAGGCATCGTGCGGTCGGCGGCTGCCGCTCTTGACGTGAGCCGGTGTAGGAGCAAGCACCAGTGGGGACGAGGGAGACGCGCCCTCTTGAAGGGCATTCCTTGATGACCTGTGGGCCCTTTCGCGGTCCCGATGACGTTCGCGATGAGGAGTGTGGGGGGTACCACCATGTGCAGATGCAAGGAGGGCCGAAGTCTTTCCGGATGTTAGAGCAACGTTTATATGCGTATGGACACCGACGTACGTGACCGGCTTCCCAGCCCTTCCCACCGTTGAGGAGCATCCAATCGAAGACCCCATCCTCGGGTTCGCCGAGGGTCTTGAGCACCTTCGTGAAGAGCTCCCGCAGGAAGTCATAGTCAGGTGTCTCCTCGAAGCCGAGCTTGCGTACATAGTTCATGTAGATGGCGAATTCCTCTAAGCGGACGCAGACATGAACGCCCATTCTACTACTTGAACGGTGCACGCACCAGGGAATCCCTCACAGAGCTCCTCAATGGGAGTACTCTGCTTCTTTTCACCGATCTTCTCGTACTTCTGCTTGTTGGTTGCGGCGCGGAGACCTTGCCATGGCAAGCCACCACGCAAGAAGTACATGAAGACATGACCTAACGACTCCAAGTCGTCACGGCGAGACTGCTCGCGGCCCAAATGTGTGTTGATGGACATGTACCGGGCGGTTCCGGACAACGATTTCCGCTCCCGGTACGGAATGTGAACTTTGGTCTTGGGGTCCCGGTAGTGCTTCGCCATGCCGAAGTCTGCACGAAGTGAGAGTTAGTATGCCAGATCTTATCCTCCAGACAACCAGAGGTGATGATGCAACGGAATGGATACTCGAACACGGAACTGCCGAGCATCGGGTGTTGTCACGGAGCAAGTTGAACATCCCGAGCTGTCTAGATTCCTGCCGTGTAGTCTGCGTGCACTCACCAATGATGTGGATGGTGTTGGCAGTCTTGGTGCCAGGGACACCAATCAAAAAGTTGTCAGGCTTGATGTCGCGGTAGATGAGGGACTTCTCATGAATGGACTGGACACGAGTGACCTGTGAAACCACACAAGACTCGTCAGCAATCCGTGCATGCTCGGAAGTGATTCAATGCAAGGCCAGGTAGGCACGATGCCGAATGAGAGTCCGCAGCGCCACGTCCATGAGCATCACCGACGCTGGGAAGCGCCTCGCGTCGGCTGAACGGGTAAGCGCCGACGTCCGATTATGAGCCGATAGTATTGGATGAAACCCGAGCGACGAACATGCATGCGCAGGTCCTCGAGGCCGCCCACCAGCCCAGTCGCATCGCGTTGCGTCTATGGCAATAAGCTGGCGACGAGGGGTGCTCACCATCTGCTTCGCGGCCATGCACACAGTCTTGATGCTGAACTTGCGGCCACACATGTCGAAAAGGTCCTCGAGGTTGGGGCCGAGGAGGTCAATGACGAGGACATT